TCTTTAGAGGAAGAAATGTATTAAGCCCCACCCCTCCCCCTCAAAAAAATTGAGCCTTACTTGTAAGATCTAACATTTTATTATTGTTGTTGATTTGACTTAAGTTTACCATTTTGTTGTGTTTCTGCTTTACTGATTTACAAGATGATTATTGACAAATCAAATGTTTAGTAGACTTTAAAAGGAATAAATGAAAAAAATTTATATGTTCTCACTATTGTGCAAACATCCCCAATAAACCAGCCAAAACCTATAAATTAAGAACCTAGATGCATAGAGTACCTCTTATTCCATGTATTCTTGAGCCTTGCAACAGACATTTGTCAGTTAATAAAACACCCTTTGCTACAGAATATACACCAAGGAATGGTCCATTTCCTAAAGAAAGTAAAATCAGCATTCTTTTTGTGTGTGTGATTGACAAATACATACTCTTTACCTCTTGAGAGTAAATCTTTTGGAAAGCTTATACTATCATCATGATAGGGTTCTCTATTATAAATAAAAGTACAGCACTTGGTTCTATTGCTATTTTTCCAATTTCATTCCAATTCACCTTAAAATGGTGGCCTTAAATGCTGTTGGGTATGTAATTTTTTTAGTGTTATTTTAAAGTGGCAAACAGAATGTGAGAATGTGCTCAGATGAATATCTGTTAATTTTCATTACTTTTTGATCATTGTATATATATTCCCCTCCCTCTCCCCCCCCTTGCTAAAAATAGCATTTTTACACTAAGCTCTTGATAATTTTTTGTATGGTGCCTTGATTTGCAAGAATAAACCAAGAGAAAACAAACAAACAAACCCACAGACCTGAAGCTTAGGCAAAATATTATTTTATGTCTTTCCTCTATGACAAATAAACAATCTCTGGGAACCCTTCTCTTTCAATCTAAAATTTTCCTGAGCGAATTTTAAATTTTCCTCTACATTTCATGCAAGTTGTCTCAGTTGGTATCTTTTCGCCCCCGAGTTACTTGACTTTGGAGGATTTGATGTCGTTCCTGACGATTTTGCCATGCAGTCATGCTCTCCTCCAAAGCCGTGAGGCTGGATCAAAGGAAACTTCGACGGAGATATTTATTGCGTAAAAATTAAGCAGACGTATCATTTCATTTTATGAAAAGCGTGCAAAGAGATTGTTTCTCACCTGAAAGAACCAAGTCCGAACTTAGAAACTCTAAACTCGTGACCGGAGAAGTTAAATACTTCTTTTCCCATATCCAGTCACTAGTTTTTGCCATCCTTCGAGTTAGACGTCGATAAACTGCAAGTGAAATTTCCTCTCCTTCTCTCCATTTATAAATCACATTGGAAGGGAACTTATCGTTGTTTTTTAATTGTACACAACCAAGGCTTCATGTTCAAGAGAGCCGCCATTTTGAATTTTATTTCGTACCCAGATTGTCACGGTCCTCTTCGGCTCTCGGAGACCTGCGTCCTTTTACGAGGTTCAAAATCCTAAACCGCAAGATCCTTATTTACTTTCCCAATGTACCTTCTGAGATGTGGCTATTCAGAGAATTCTAGAAGTAGGGCCACTGATAGGTTGGGTCTATTTCTAAGGTCCTATCACGGCTGACAGAACTTTTCATTTCTATGGTACAACATAAAAATTTACGAAGTGCGTGCACTGAGCTCTCAATTGACAAAAAAGTTTTTTGCTTTCTCTTCTTTTTGCCAAAGAGGTAGAAATCATTTAGTCAGAAGTTAGAAGCTTGTCTAGCATGTAGAGAATCCTCTACAACGCGGTGGCCTGGGTACGACAATACAATGTAAACAAACTATGTCCAAAATACGTAACGACGTGTATTTATTCTCTTTGACGGTTTCGCAAACTCTAGGGTTGACTAGGCCGAGCAGAATAACTGCACTGGCAAGGTAAGGCTTAGGTGTAGACAACCAAGTAGAATGAAATGTTCATGGAGTGAAAGTGCATTTTTGACTCTCTAAACCATGGCTCGCTCTGCACGATGTAGTTTGCTCCGTTTTTGTAACAAGGCCCCTATTTCTCGATTGCAGCGTGATATTCGCAGGAACTCTTGACGATACGATTATCAATATGCTGACAGCGTAATGGCAAATCAAATGTCATGCGATGTGCGCGTTTTGACTCGGCGCTTGCAGGCATTGCTAAACCACGCGTGATTGTTGCGTGACGCGCATTCCTTACATCACGCTTTCGCGTAGTCAGGGACGTTTTGCATGTAGAAACAGTCTTTCGACAGTACTTCTTGAGTTCTCTAGTCGTTGCAATTTTGTTGAATTTTGCATGGTCTGTTTCATCTGTAATCACCGGGCAAACAATTAAGGCCGGTTATTTACACGAAGTCTAACTCAAATTGCGGTTTTACGCCAGCAGTGGGCCTCACGTATTCTCTATTAAGGAGGGTTAAATGTTATTTCCACCATTAGCTTTCCGCCCTCTTGACAATGTTCACAAAAATAAATGATCAGATAAAAGGCTCGGCTAAATTGAAGATATTTTAGAACGCGGTTTTGTTTAACAACAGCTGAACTTTTTTAATTAACCATTGTGCGAAAAAATTGATTATTTATAGCCGAGGTGTTAATTGTTGATTTGACCTGCGCAAACGAAGCACGGCTCCACATATTTTACGGGTTAATAGTTAATATCTCGATCATATGAAGAACCGTAGACAAACATGGATAAGCTTCTGTCAATCTTGGACAACGGTTCCTTGCACTTCCCTTACACAACAATAGCCATAGCTTTTACTTTGACTTTTATCATCTTCAGGTTTTTCTCACGAAGGAGGTCGATCGCCTTGGATCAGAAATATGTTTTAATTACCGGTTGCGACTCTGGCTTCGGCCGTGAAACAGCCATTCGACTGGACAAGATGGGAGCGTATGTGTTGGCGACTTGCCTGACAGAGGAAGGAGAGAAGAGTCTAAGGTCCGCGACCAGCGACAAACTGAAAACATTCCGGCTGGACGTGACAAATTCAGAGCAGATCAAAGATCTTTACGAAGATATTCAGCGACTTCTGCCCTCGGACCAAGGTAGAGGCTTGCTTGAACACTTTGAAAACGTACAGTGTAGGCACGCAATACGTCCAAAAAAGGTACACGCTCAAAGAGGTGACAATGATCAGCCGAGCAGTTATACACAGTTCTACTTTAAAGTTCGTTTTAAACGTGAATTACAATAGATCCATGGATAAACTCTCCCTTGGGAGGCCTCTACGAAGAGGAAGTTCAAGGACAAAACATTGGTCTTCACAGATCGAAATGCTCCGAAAACCCCTGTTTCTGTTACCCACATAATCCCTTCCTTTAGTCCAAGGGTGTTTCCCCTAAGAAGAGTTTCTACAGGCCAGTATAAAATATAGATTATGGACTTCGGACTACGGACTACGGACCACGGACTACAAACTACGGACTACAGACTACAGACTACGGACTAAGGACTGCGTAAAAATGCATGCATAAAGAGATCTAGGCAATAGAGACATTGCTAAGGAAAGAAAATGTGCCACGAACATCTTGTAAGGACCTGACCTGGTTTCATCCCTTATTCCTTTACATTGTAGTCCGCGCTTTCATTCCCAGTTCGCAGTTCGTAGTCCGGGTTCCATACCTCATTCCATATTTTATACCAGTCAATGATGCATAGTCCGTGTTCCGACGAGCTTATTTTATGCTGACCAGGGATTCCATCTCTACGTACCAACATTGGAACTTCTTTCCCGTTTGGGACACGTCTACCCAAGGGATACTATTTAGAGTGCCGAGATCGCCCTCTAAAGGGAGGTTGCACTATATTATGCAAGCCAGTGTGATGATGAAAACGAAAATATAGTAGGTCACTCGTTTGACGGAATTATTAAGTTTTACCTTTCTGTTGCGTGATCACCAAATAGGTGTATGGGGGTTGGTAAACAACGCTGGGATCGCTATTACTGGACCAATAGAATGGATACCTCTACAAAAATCAAAACGCGTCGCTAATGTTAATCTGTGGGGCATGATTGACGTTACTAAAACCTTTCTGTCGCTCGTCAAGAAGTCCCGAGGCCGCGTGGTGAACATGTCAAGTATGTTGGGTGAGTTATTGCATCTCTTTCTGTGCTAAAAGAAAATCAGACATATTTCACCATTTTTTAAATATCCTTGAGATGCTGTTGTCTTTGGGCCTATTTAGGCATTATGTACACTTATTTGACGGGGGAGATCTCGTCTTTTAGCTTTTTAATTGGATGATTGAAGTCAGCGGCTGCATCAGTCTGTACGAACGTTTCGTCGCTTTTGGAAAAATATGTGACGTTGAGCGACGCGAATCAGAGAATGGTCTGTCAAGTCCCAAGGCAACGAAAGAATACGAGCAGTCCCTCGTTTTAAGCGAAGTCTGTCGCACGAGTTAAAAAACGAAATTGATGTTGGCGCAGCGTGTGGAACTCTGAGAGTGGGTCGCCCAAATAGGTTTTTTTTTGACATTTTTAGTTGTTTAGATGTCAGTTCATTTAACTTCAAATACAACGTATGTCTGACAACTTATCTTTCCGCTGAGAATTCGCTGACAAGCCCTGCCTCTAAGTGATTGTTGTCTTCTCTTCGTAGTCTGGACAGCTGGCACACAAAGATGGGAGAGGGGAGGCTTTTTTCGAGAGCAAAGCTCCATCGTTACATGAGATCTGGGCTCTCTCTCGCATTGTCTTATCTTGTCCTGTTTCCTCACCCCCCACCCCTTTTGTACCTCAACCACGCTGGCTACATTCTGAGCTAACTACAAAACTATTGTACGAAATACAACTGACTTAACGCGCTAATTATTGGTTCAACTTCAGGTCGTGTATCGTTGCCTCACGTTTCTAGCTACTGTATAACAAAGTATGGAGTGCAAGCATTCTCCGATGCTTTGAGGCGTGAAATGAACCCGTGGGGAATACTGGTCAGTATCATAGAACCCGGCTTGTTCAAGACAGCCTTGGCACACACCGAGCGCAACATTCAAGCGACGCAGGATTTATGGGACGACCTCAGTCCTGAGTTAAAGGAGGAGTATGGAGAGAGAAAACTCAATCAAAGTAAGAAGTCATTTTAAGAAAGTAAAAAATATATATACGCAGATAGATTATGAAAGATGAAAAAAAATTTTCCCGCCTTCCCTTGCGCGTGACTTGCTCTTCGTGCTGGCTTTGCCCTAGCCTCCGTTCGCCTAAAAGCGCTAAAAAAAAAACAAACAAACAAACAAATCGCGCCGGTTCTGCAGGTTATAATGTTTAGACCATAATTTAAGCCTTTCTTTCTCTCTTCACAGTCAAGAAGGGAATCATTAAGGTTTCCGAGAGTGCCAATCCTGACACATACAAAGTTGTGGATGCTGTGATCGATGCTTTAACTTCTCAGCGACCTAAAACTCGTTACGCTGTGGGTCTGGATGCAAAAGTATCAATCTTCATTTCCTTTATGCCCACTTTCATTGCTGACAGCTTTTTCCGAAGGAGGAAGTGATATGCCTCGGTTACAACGGAGCATCTGCTTTAATGAGATCTCAGTAAGATACGTTTGAAACATCTGCCGCCTTCAGTCAAAAACATGACGTGTGCACACGTTGTCTTACATGCAGCACTAATCATACTCATATGGACCAATGTTGTAATAACTAGGTGGCGCCTAGGTGGCGTTCTTTCAGTCTGTCAGAACCAAGTTGTCTTACACGAGGTACAAACAACCACACAAGCCAGTAATTATCCGTGTATAGAAGTGTATAACTTTTTCGGCAAAACTCAAAACAGAATTGTAAATCAACAGGACACCCGTGATTAATAAGCTTTGTGTTCTAACAGTCTCCAGTTTTCCTCCTCCATAATTTTCTTTCCTTTCACAGATTTCTATTAATTTTTCAATTTTTGTATCCTATTGTGCGAGACAGCGGTTGTTTCTTATGTTTTCCTCGAAAGTTTGCGCGGGAAAGAAGCGCGCGGACGGCCAAACATTGATGCCCTCGCGCACGCCCTACTTTTGACCGTTGTGGTGCAAGGTATGTTGGGTAACCCACAGAATACAAATTTCAAAATACTCACTCGATTTATTTCTATGACAAAAATCCATATTTACTGACATACAAGCTGGTCGTGTTATTAATACCGGCTTTGAAAGAAGTTCTGAACAATATTTTACTATAAAAATTAGCATTTATTGGTTAAATACTCTCAAACATGGTAAACTATAACTTAAGAAATGAATATAGGTCTGCAATAAAAAGAAGACTGTTCTTCAACGAAAATAATTTTTTACCCAAGGAAGACTGAAAGGTACAGAGTGTGGAATTACAATGTAATGTAACAACTGACCGTTATCTGTTTTACCTCTCCACCAAGCTGAATGCAATGATTGTTGCTATGATTTTTTATCTCGTCCATTTTATAGAATCGCGTTTCTTACAAAATCATTGGATATAAAGTTAAACATTTTCCAGTGTAAACAATGTTAGTGAAGAGTTCCTTTTACTTACTTTGATTGGCTTGTGCCAAAAAAACCTCTAATTTCGTACCCAGATCCTATCGTGTAACGGTGACTGAAATGTAATCTCGTTCCCAGATCCCACCGTGTAATGGTGAAATGTAATCTTATTCCCAGATCCCACCGCGTGAGAAATGTACTTTCGTACCAAACTCCTACCGTGTAACGGTAACTGAAATATGGGTCTGGGTATGAGGTTAAATATCTCCAAGCAGCTGGAAAAAAACGAAATGACTTCCCATTTCACCACAGTTCCCTCAAAAGATATTTTTTCCAATATATAATTAGGCTGTAGTAAGAATTCTGAAGAAGCAACAAAGTTTAGTTGAACAATATCTAATAGGAAGTTTGTTCATCTTTCCGACCTCAAATTTTAGCGCGAAACATCCAAATACAGTGGAGCCTCGATTTAACGAAGCTAAGTGCCAAGGGACTGGGGAAATTAGTCCGTTATCGAGGTTCTGTGGCGTACATTTTACTGTAACTTTAGCCGGGCCGAAACTTAAGTATCGTTCGTTATACCGAGGACGTCGCTATATAGAGGTTCGTTAAATCGAGGTTCTACTGTCTAATGAACGATACTTCAGTTTCAGCCCGGCTAAAGTTACAGTAAAATGTGTGCCACAGAACCTCGATATAACGAACCAATTTCCCTAGTCCCTCGGCACTTCGTTCAGTCCACTGTGCAATGCCTTGTTAACAGAAACGGAGGATCACTTTTAGTTACGACATAAACAAAGAAACATAATATTTTGTATCATGGTTTCAATAAGCAGATAAATTACCCACAACAATTTAAGAAATGACACCATAACAATTAGACGAATGCCTCAAAAAGTTTGGTGTGTCAGCGTAATGTTTCTCGAACAGCACTTGATAACGCGCATGCATTGCGGAAGATTTTTAAGTTTTTAAGGAGTTGGAAAAAACAATTTCATTTTCGATCTGCTCATCATTCATCTTTTGCCACTAAGACAATTATTTTCACCGTACTGTCTGCGAAAAATTTTTAGATATATTCTCGTTGCAAACTCTTTCCCTTACCGACCGTGTTATCACGCGACTTGAACTGCTACCAGTGCTACTAGTTGTTTTTGATTGGATATGCAATCAACTACGTAGATAAGACATATTTTTTACAATTTGTTTCATTCGCAATCGACGAGAACCCCTTCTTGTTGCGAAATAGGAATGTTCTGACCGGTGAAGCAATATTGCACGGAACGTTTACTGTATTGTGTAGCTACACCTCTTCGAAAGCCGAGAACAATATCCAATGCATCTCATTAGAAATGCATTGTGGACCATCAAAGCATTGATTTTTCATTTGGAACATTGGTGAATTCGTTGAGAATAAAGAAAATTGTGAATTTAGCGATACTATTTGGTTAATCAATAAATTCTCGGAATAGTCGTTATATGAAATGTATGACGGGCCATAAGGAGAATTGCTATTGCAATCCAAAGTCTGGATGAGTTCGAAAGTTCCTCTGTCGCGTATTTCATGGTCGATTCTATATTATCAATTCAATATCAAACAAAGAAAGTGATGAGAATAAAGAAAAATATCAATTAGGAGATCATAAGTCGATCCAATACCTATTTTTTTGAACTGATATCATAAGAATAAAGGAATGAAAGGGGTTAAAGAGTTAGCTAAATTTAGTCTAAAGCTATATTTTACTTTCAAATTGCTTCACTGTCTTCCAACGGATTTAATCAGAGACCCTTCTAGCTTACTTACTTAAAGAGAATTATTTGATTTTCAAAAACTTTCACAGCTGCTAAACATGTACAGATTTCGTTCAGATTGTGTAAAACATTTTGGTTGTTATGTTGCCTAATCATGCGCGGCCAAGTTGCGTGGTAAATATTAAAACTTGTGCAGCGGAAGCAAAAATTAAATCAATGAAGTGTGTCAAGGCAGAACTGTAGCTGTAAGGATTCCTCTCTATTGCGCGCTCTTTGCCCAATTTGCGTGGTCCTAAGTAAACAAGTCCTCAGTTGAAACCTTTTGGAAAGCCAAATTCAAATGAATCGTCAGTGTCCAGGCATAATTTTGTTTTTGCCGAGAACATTCATAATTTCATAGAAAGGAAAGTTTAGCTTCGACGCAGTTCAGTTGAAAAGATTAAATTCATAATTTCATGGCCGAAAGGAAAGTTCAGCTTCGACTTAGTTCAGTTAGAAAGATTAGCGTGCTTGAAAAAGGACGATTATGCGGACAAAGTTCTTGAAGCAGAACCAATTCCTCTTATTCCAAGAATGCTATGTAGTACCCTCTATTAACTATGTCGTAATAGGCCACGATGTTGCATAGGCGTATGCGTGGGCCTATTCTTGACTCGCACTATATATATATACAAGGTCGTTAAGTTTTGAGGTCATCTCCCATAAGTTGTTTCCTACCTACATAGCTGAAGACTTCATACCGCACAGATTTTAAAAATAAGCGGTCTCCTGAATAATCTTGCAAATTTTAAGTAACAAGACGATCATGTTGTTCATAGTCGTTTTGGCAATTGTAACGTTTGTTTCAATTTTACTGATTCTTCCAATTTTTTCGAGAAGGAACACAGCCACGTTAAACATAAAGGATAAATATGTTCTGATAACCGGCTGTGATTCTGGGTTTGGGCGAGAAACAGCATTGCGATTGGACAAGATGGGAGTGTGTGTGTTGGCGACTTGTTTGACGGAAGAAGGAGAACAGAGTTTGAGATCTGTGGCGAGTGAAAAACTGAAAACTTTCCAGATGGATGTTACAGACCCTCAGCAAATTGAGGCAGTATTTTTTAAAGTAAACCAACTCCTGGAAGGTAGTTCAGGTAAGAGAAAAGTTATTTCTTTCACATCAATAACTAATATAATGATAACTAAAATGTTGTGTGACATAGAACTAAAATAGAGCGGTTTTTTTTTCTCATTTGTTTACATTCTGCGTTAATGAGTGCCTGGAGCATTTACTTTCAAATCGTGGTTGGCCGTGGAAAAAACAGCAAGAATCAATTCTTTAAGTTTCCTTTTCGCATTTGTCACTGAGAAATTTTCATTTGTGCGCCTTATCATTCATGGTTGTACGAATCTCACGGTTGAAAAACTCACGACATTTGTAAAGTTTAGTTGACTCTGTCTGCTTCCTCTTATGTTGAAATTTCTTCATACAGCAGAATTTTCTGATCCGAAATATCAGTTATTTACATGTGGAGGCTCGGAAATGTCGCAACTGAATACATAGATGAACAAATTTGTCCATTAGCCACAGATTTTCTCAAAAACGACATACCAGTAGTATTCAGTGATTTCTTGTTCACGGGCAAACATCACTTTTGTGCGTGTGGAGACACGGAAATGTCGCAACAGATGGACGACTGAACAGGAAATTTCTTGTTCCTTAGTCAGATATTTTTCCACGAACGACATGCCTCCTTGTTCCCGGGTAAACATCACTTCTGTACGTGCAAATACACGAAAGTGTCGCAGTAGATACAACCAAATGAACGGGAAGTATCTACCTTGCTCGTTAGCTACAGATTGTCTCCAGAGGACATGTTAGTATTCTCTGTAATCGCTGCTGTTCAAGTTTGATATCTTAAAGATTTCACTCTGTGAAAACGGTTTGCTGATACAAATTTTGGGATGTGGTCGATGCTTCTGGAGGGCACGGGAAGGGTTTCGTATTTGAAGGTCTTGTATGAGCTTGTCATTTTCATTTCTGGATATGCCAGGTTTAATTGGCTAATGGTTATAAATTATCACATCCTCTTGACAAAGACAAGGATTACGTCTCTTCGCATAAGCTTGGCTGCCATTGAACGGAGTAGTCTGATTGGTGGTACGAAGTTTGCAAAAGGAAATTTTATCCCGGTTTACCGTATGCAAATTTCAGCCCGGTTACCATTCATATGGGCAATTTCAGCTCAGCTTTGGTTTATCTTCGTTCGATTCATCCTGGTTCAAGATGAACCAAGTGACCACTTTCAAATTTCGTCCCGTCAAACGAGCTAGGATAGTTAAATGGAAACTTCTCTACCCAGGTTACCGAGATCTTGGTCGCAAAAGCCAACCCTCCTTCAACTTGTCCCTTGGTTCTCAATTAGCTAAATGGATAGAGCGCTGGATTGTTGTGCGGGAGGTCGAGGGTTCGAGCCCCGGCCGGACCAACACTCAGGGTCTTAAAATAATTGAGAAGAATTTTCTACCTTTCTATGACATGAAGAAATGGTTAGATATTCTAGTCTTCTCGGATAGGGACGAATAAATGGAGGTCCCGTCTCCTGCAGGGTTGGGGGTAGGAGACTTTAATTTCCCACACACGAGATTACTGTGTGATGGATGTCCTCCCCTGGGGTGGGATGGGTGGGTTAATAGAGGGCCACAGGATTATCAGTTTAACTACTGTCACGTGTTACCCTCTTGAAACAAAGTCTCTCTCTCCCTATCTATCTCTCTCTCTCTCTCAAAGAGAATAAGTGGGTGCACGGAAAAACTGTGTTCGAAAGGCCGGGGCGAGAAAAAAAAAATGCAGCAGCTTTGCCTTCTCCACACACTGAGAGCCTACCACAGGCTACGCAACTCCTTATATGAACACACGATTGTGATTTTGACACAGGAAGCGCGGTGAGGGGAAATCTCGGAAATTGGGCCACTGCGGTTGACGATGCTCACGGGGGCTGACTGGCCCTTTCGTGTTTGTTGTATGTTACTGAGTCAAAACTGATCTTAGAATTTGTTGGATACACGAAGATTATCATGAGTTTTCTCAGGAGCCCATCAACAGGAGCCTTTTATCTCCCATACTAAGCCTCGGAGTCAACCCTTTCCCGAGTAGATTTATTTATAGAACGGCTCTCAGGGGAGGTTTCGCACGCACTCAGTTCAAAGACCCAATCATAGAACGGCCTTTAGGAGAGGTTTTGCACGCACACAGTTCAAAGACCCAATCATAGAATGGCCCTTAGGAGAGGTTTTGCACGCACACAGTTCAAAGACCCAATCAAAACGGAGCTTGATGTTGTTTTACGTCACATACCCCCATCATCGCGGGAAAAAAAGCCGTTCTAAAAATAAAGCTACCCGGGATCGGGAAAGGGTTGACTCAAGAAACTAGTGGAGATAGAGGTTCCTGTTGATGGGCTCCCGGTTTTCTTTGATAAAAACATTAAGAATATCCACCCAAAGGCAACAGGGTGTGCTAACATCAAAAACGTGGTGTACTCATACACGTCAATTTTACTTTTCAATTCTTCCCGATAATAATCTGGCATTAATTCCCTTATCTTCCGATATTCAGATGAAGATATTTGACACTCCATTAGCTAAGGAATTTTTACTGTCAAATTCGTTGAAATCCTCTTGTGTAATAAGAATTGTTCAGAAGATTTATCCAAGTCCATTTAAAACGCGGGAGAAAGACATTATAAATGGCTCGATTGGAAAAAGGTTGTTTCGTGATCGAAGATACTTCTTAAAATATCTCTGATTAAACTCGAAAATTAAAAAAAAAAAAACCTCATATCGTCACAGAAGTTACAAATTGAAATCCCAAGCTGTAAATTTATCTTTATTTAAAATTATCTTCGTATCAGGCATTCTAATCCTATTTGTTACGGTCCACATTTTGGACAAATCAGAGCTAACATTCATAGCGAAACATCACAGCTGGGGTCGATCGTGGTCGCGACAAGTGAACAGCTGTTACGAATCACGATTTTCCGCTGGTTTATACCATGTGGTTTGTTCTTGCGGGAACAGCAATTGCCTTAGTAACTGCCGGTTTATGGTTTTCTCGAAAGAAAAGTGAATCACTTTTGAGTTTAAATGAAAAGTATGTTCTGATAACCGGTTGCGATACTGGCATCGGTCGAGAAACAGCCATTCGATTGCACGAGATGGGAGCCCATGTCTTGGCGACATTTTTGACGAAAGACGGGGAACAGAGTTTGAAGGCGGTGATTAGCGACAGGCTTAAAACTTACCAGTTGGATGTGACCAATTCGGAGCAAATCAGAAAAGTATTTTACGAAGTGAAGCAACTTATCGGTAAATCAGGTAAATGCGAGTTGTCCATCAGCTTTAGATGACCTTTCAATCATCTGATAGCAGTAAGTGATCTGTTTAATTGACTGTTATGTTATCTACATCGTCATCATAATTGCACAGTGACAGTTCTGTTATAAAGAAGTTGATCTGGTTAGATGGAGCCATTCCAAAGTGAATTACCTCCATGTCTGCTGTTTGATTTTGGCATTTCGCTTTAAAAAGCGACAACTGTAATGCTTTATTCTTCACTTCTCCACATGTGTCTTCATTAATCTGCATTTATTCATTTCCTTCCTACACGCCCACTGTGTTTACTATCATTTGAAAGAGGTAGCGCGAAATTGTTTAACTTAAACTTGTCAACAGTCACGTATTGAGTTAAAACCATTTGGCCGTTCGCCGTGAAGCATGCTAATGACCGCCCAGCGAGCAGAGATTCCTTCAATCTTTCAATCAATCAATCAAACTATATTTAAAGAGGGTGACACTTTATAGTTAAAAACTAATGAATTTGTGGCCCTCTATAAACATTGTTACTGTACAATTTAAAAAAAAAAACTATTATAATTAACAACCTAATTAAGAATTTAATTAAAACCTTTTAAAAAATCACAATGTACAACAAATCAAGATCTAAAAGTTAAAAGTAAAACTTATCGCTCATATCATGCGATCTAAGAAAACGTTACCCAAAAAAGGAGTAGAAATCTTATCTTCCTAGAAAATTCGGTAAGAGGAAGATCGAAGTGACTACTAATGACTGAATCACCAGGGTTTGACTGACGGTTCAGCTTTCTTTCTACAAGGTGTGAGGTGAGGGGGGAGGGGTGGTTCGAATTCCACGTGCAGTTATACCGGTAGGGAGAGGGTGTGTTTGATATGGTTTTTTTTTTTAAAAAAAAAAATCACCCCAGACTGGATTTCAAATATACTACGTTTTTATGAATTCCTGACTCCATAACCCTAACATAGTCGAACCTCTCCATTTTTGACACCGAAGGGACACAGCTGAGTGATTGCATGTATTCAGAGAGGTGCCCTCTTTCAAGAGGTCGTGAGCAAAGGTTCTTCCATTCTCGCTTTCAGTAGCCTACGTTTAACCGTACCTTCCCCCCCGAGGAGAAACGTTTCTCCTCGGAGGGGGGGAAGGGGAAGGTACAGCTACACGTAGACTACACTCTAAGACATAGGCTCTACGTTTTATTCCAGGCCTGTGGGGACTGGTAAACAATGCTGGAATCCTAACAGTTGGACCGGTCGAGTGGCTACCGCTTGACGCCTACAAGAAAGTTGCAGATGTTAATTTGTGGGGCCTGGTCGATGTGACTAAAACATTCTTACCATTGATAAAGAAAGCGAAGGGACGGATTGTCATCGTTAGCAGCATAGCAGGTAATATGATAGCCAGCTCTACGAGGATAGGCGACTGTAAGAGGGCTGAGAAAAAATCTCTCATGTTTTTTAGGGCTTCAAAGCGCATTTGGTTGAGTGACACGATTAAGAACTCAAGGAAAATGGCTGTATCCCGCAATCAGGCATTCATTTTTTTCCGGGGGAGGAGTGGGGGCACGATAGTGTAACAGCCCAAAAAAAAATGAAACTTGATCAAGTGTAGAAAAAAAGTTAGTGACCAGCCGAGAATACATCCAGTTTTTCATCTGGTTGGCTGAGGGGATTTTCCGAAGTTCTGAACTGGTGCTAAACAAAAACAAGACGATCACGGATTGATTGCGACAGATTTGGAAATTAACCTAAAACATGTTTCAGAATGAGGTGTGAACATCTGCCGTAAAGCTGTCGATAGACTACACAGTTTAGCTCACGTTTGTTATTCGTTTAACCACATACATCGGCGCGACCCTTGGTAACTATCTAGGTCACACGACAGAAGCGTTGGAAATTACCGGATCTCAAATGTCATTCCTAAATGAGTTTTGTAAACGTAAATCTCAAATCGCAACAGTATTATGTTAAGCAGGTTAACAAAAAATAATGGTAGTTTGTTTAAAGACTGCATAAATGTTATCTGTTTACGCACGTTATGGGGAAGAGCTTTTGAGACCACACATTAAAAGATAGAAAAAACTTGAGGAGAATGCTAGGAGAATTCCGTTCAGGCAAGAACGGAATATAGAAAAAACTTGAGGAGAATTCCGTTCAGGCAAGGTCCTCTCTAAGACCTTGCCTGAACGGAACATAACTTTTGGCAGTACCTGGCTAGACTGTGTAGGGCTCCCAGTCAGAAGAGACGAGGCAAAAACTGCAAGCGAGTGGCTATGGTTGTCGGGGAAACGGCTGATTCGAATTTTCTTCGCGCTATAAAAGCGCTTAATTCGCGGACGACATTTTCTCGCGCCTTCCTTCTCGTTGCCTCCCCGCTAACTGGGAGAGCCTGGAACGAGGTAAACCTGGCTCTCTTCTAATTTGAAGCCTTTGGGGGATAAAATAAACTTATCCCTTGCAGCATGTATGCTACCTCCTTGAATATGAAAAATGTCAAACGAGTATTCCCTCACAGCAAGTCCATAATTTATTTCAGCAGCAGATGGTCTCTCGAACGTCAAGTCATGGCGTTCTGTTGAATGATTACTCGACTTGGGTATCACTGAAATGTTCTGAGCACTTCAACAAGTTTTATTGAGCTGACTCTTTTTTTTTTTTTGCTTCTCAAGGTGTTATTTCACCTCAAGCGTTCTCACCGTATTGCATATCCAAGTATGGCGTGGAGGCGTTTGCAGATGCACTGAGACGCGAGATGCGCCCATTTGAAGTCCTGGTCAGCGTAATAGAGCCGGGTGCGACACGTACTCCAATTTTAAACGACGTCTTGTTGTGTGCTCGCCTCAAACAATTGTGGGACAATCTATCAGAGGAGAAACAACAGGAATACGGTAAAGGATATCTTGAAAACGGTGAGGATGGAGTTCCTACAGGTTGCGGTTGAAAAGAACTCACTCGCCTCAGCCCAACTCTCTATCACGGTTTATGGTTCATGATTTTTTTATTATCATGACCATTCATTGCTTACAAGTAAGAAAAGAAGAAAGGCCAATAACACCCAAGTTGATCTGAACTGGCATAGATAAGCCTTAGGGAGCATTTATTATTGATGGGAGGGGGTGGGCTGGCAAGATTTTCAGTGGGACTAAACAAAATATCCTGACCCTGCTCTATAAGAATTAAAAATGTCATGACACCTCTAGTTATAATTGCAAAAATAGCTAGCCCCCTTCCCCCTTAGGACTATCAAAGCAGCTAGGTTAAAAGAAGGGAAAAACATCTTTCAAATATTTAATTTTATTGCAAAAACACCGTAACAATACAGTTCTAGAGTTTAAAATCAAAAGTTGATGCAAAATGGGTAACATAATATAAGAGATATCCCTATGTGGATGACATTGTAATTTCGTATTGCAGTAGTGATTCTCGAGAGGCTAAGGAAAGTAGTCAGGAGGATATCATACCAGTTATGGAATTGACTCGTGGAACTTGTCTCGACGTAGTACTGGCACATCGTTTTCTAGATACGGAGACCAGTTTGTGTATTTCTAATATTCTGTGTTTGCTGCCCCACTACAATCATAGCTTGCCAAGAATACCTATTGTGCCAAAAAAACTCATGGCTAGTCTATATAATATAATTGTAAATAACTTTGAACTTAGAACATCTCATCATTGTTATCCCTTTTTGTTAGTTTTTTTATTGTTAATACTATTGTAAATATTACACTCAGCTCGCCTTCACTGCAATCTTGTAATATAGTTTTTGAAATAAACATTATTATAGCTTGAAGAAGAATAGCTTTCCAGTGTACGCAAAGTTAGCCATTGTTCCCTATATCTTGTATGGCAGGTAGTAGAAATGTTCTACAAACTTAAACCCACATTTGTAGATGATAGGTAACAACAAAAAGCTTTTGATCTCCCTACATTATTCCCAAATTTTTCTAAACACCCCCCATTTTAGTTCCTGAATTTATCATGACCCCCCCCTCATTATTCTTGCCAGCCCTTCCCCTGCCATAAATAATGAAGGCTCCCTTAATGAATGGTGACTTGTGGCTGCATGATTTGCCAATGTTCCGTGACATGACCGAAACAAAGAAACCCTTTTTCAGTCAATAGTTGATAAAATCTCTCAATAGGATACAATGCAAACTGCAAATTACAATCCAGGTATTGTAATCTAACTATAATCCATGCATTTATCAATTCATTTTTACTATTTCAGCAACAAAGGGTTTTCGTGACTGGTGCAAATCTGCATCTAAGCAAGTGAGTCGCGTCATTGATGCCATTGTGTTACCTCTGACATCACGGAGTCCGAAGAAGTGCTACGTGATTGGCCAGGATGCATGGCAGCTGAAATTTCTTTCTCACTTGCCAGAAGTACTTCAGGATTTTGTCCTGAGAGAATTTCCGTTTAGGGTGGTGGTTCCTTCTGGCCGAGATTTGTTTGAAAAATCTTCTACGAATGGTTCAGCTCATTGAAAATTCCATTGAAGAAATTCCACAGCCCCAGAACTTCAATGCTCTCTGTAACTCCAGGAATTGATTAACATGTAACTTCTTCCCTATCAGGGCTGTAGCCAGATTTCAGGACAAGACTAGGCAAGTTTTGAGCGCCAAAGGCACAAGCTGCTAGAGGGGTCTGGGGGCATGCCACCCAGAAAACTTTGAAATTGAGAGGTTTAGAAATGCTCTTTTAAGGATTTTCCGTGGCATTTTTCTGCAGAAAAGTCAATCTTTAAGAAAAAAATTAAAAAAGGCCAAAATTAAGACGAGGCAATTGCCTTGTCTTGCCTCATGCTAACTACGGCTCTGCCTATAATATCCATTTATTATCCAACAAACAGGTAATAGGAATACTCAAACTTATCAAATAGTTGCTATTTTGATCTAACACCAAACTCTCATAGCTAATCTACAAGGAAATGCATAGCAGCTGGAGAGGAGAATTAACAATCAGATCTTAAAAGAGTTAAAGGTTAAAAAAATTTCCCACTGAATCCTTTTGTTGTGATCAGATATGTAACTAATTCTTGGATTCAAGATAATTTTTTAACAGTTATGTATCAAATGTCATGCTGTTATATAGTCATACAACATTTCTCTGAGTGACCTACCCATAGTATATGCAGTTACTTTTTCAGCTGTTATTATTTCATTCGAAGAACATGTTTTTAAAGATAAGCAATTTCTCTTTTTGAAAATTAGGAAAAAATGCCAGGAAGTGCTTTTCTAAGATGAAGAATTTGTTCGAGTTCTGGAAAAGCTTACTTGAGGGTCTCAGTGGTGTGTTGGCTTTTACGGCTAATGGTTAAAACTTTGGCCATTTTACAGCTAACGGTTAACTCCCTTTGTGATCGAAAGAAATATTTTTTCAGTCACTTGAGCTATAGTTTCTGTGCTATTTTACAGCTAACGGTTAGCTCATTAAGACCCTCTTACTTGCGATTTAAATAGAGAAACTTTTAATAACATTCAGTTTTTGATTTCCCATATCTTAAATTTCTTTAAATTCTTAAAGTTGAGTAAATGTATAGGATTGGACCCATTTGAAAATTATAGATTTCCCATAAAAATCCAGGTGGTTGAGTTTGTGATTTCTCTAGAGGATGGGGAATGCTTTGTGGTTATATTGATTATAAAATTTGCTCAAAGACACAACCTGCATAAAAAATCAGAGACATGCCTTTGTTTGCCGAGAAAGGAGTGTGAACTGCTCCCCCCTTTC